ACACGCCACTGAAACTTCTCAACCTCTGCTGTGTGTCATGTTTTCCCCTCCACTTTCTACTTTTCAGCAGGTGCCCATGTTGCCTTCAATTTCTACACATAGTTGTTGGCACTCATTGAATTTGTAGACATTCATTTATGTCACTGAAGTGTAAACGGCATGCCTGTGGTCTTCCACCTCAGAAAATTGCTATCTCCTTGAAGAAAATAGCAATAGCAACCAGGATAGATGCTGGCACTGACTGAAAACTCAGTACAAGTTTTCTTGCTAGAGATAAATTAAAAACCTCAATGGCTTCAGTTATACTTAAGACTTCTTTTTATAGATTCAGTGTTCTTAACCAATCAGCCAAAACTGTCATTTGCTTTCTCTCTCTCTCTCTCTCTCTCTCTCTCTCTCTCTCTCTCTCAGGTATTGCCTTGTGAGTTATTCAATTGAAATTTGTGATTCTTTTGCCAGTTTTTAATCTGCTCTGTGTTTCTGTCTTAGCTCCTTGACTGGACTTTGAGTCCCTGGAGCAAAAAGGTCTTCATCTGATAAATATAAGCTGATATAAAGCAGATGTTTGCTAAATGTTAAATTTGTAATAAATGAAATTTAAGTGGAGAAAAGAGACCCCTTTATGCTTAGTTACTTAAAAAGGTATACAGATTGTTATTTTGCCTATTTGAAGGAGCCTGGGGCTCATAAGCTCTAAAGCAAAAGGGGGGAAAAGAGAGGACAGGGGGAAACGGAGTTCTATCACTCACATGTCCTTGATCATCCAATTCATTGTTGGTCAGCTTGAGTTTGTCGAAACTAACCACCTGTCTCATCCAGGTGTCTCCAGAAGCTAGGGAATCCGGGTGGATGTAAACCCGTGGGGGCACAGGGGAGTCAGCGTTGCCAGCCACCATCCACTTGGAGCTATGATACACATATCTGAGACACAGAGAGAGAGGAGAGAATTTAGAGACAGATGCTTGGAAAAAATAGAGGCCCAAGAAACAAGTAAAGAATGAAAAAAATAAAATAAAATAAAATGGAGACTGTAAATGAGAGGAACGGAAAGGTAGATAATCAGAAAAAAAATGAAATTGAGATGGCACTGGACAATAGGGTGGGATAAAGCTGTTGTGGTTAATGATCAAAGCCACAGCTCTCATTAGAAAAACACTCTCCAAGCGCTTTTCTCTCTCCTCCCTCCTTATGCCATGCACCCCTGTGTGCACACAGGCACCCTGATTCCATGTGTCTAGCTAAAGAAAAAGGTATTTTACTGCAACCTTTCACCTTTCAAATGCAAACCATATAATCTTTAGCCACTTGCTCAGGATTTTGTTCCTTATTAAAAACATCTTCCATATTGTCCTATAAAAAGCAGCCATGTGCAGGGACTCTCCAAGCCTCTCTCTCATTAACCATTTCCTTGCTGACCCTCTGAATTCCAGGGGGCATTTCTACAAGAATGGAGGGCTTCCTACGTCAGTGGAACCACTCCCATAACCACCATCAGATATTCCTGGTGTTCACTTTAATGGACTTAGTTTGGGAATTTTTCATTGTTCACATCATTTTCCCACAATGCCCCTGTACATGAGATATTGATGGTAGCAAGGAAAATCTGTTTTCCAGAGCATATCAGTTTTCTTGTGGACTTCATATATCTGGCACCTCCTTATGTTTCAGGTCTAAAGGACTACCTGGGTGCTGAACTCTGGCCAACAGAAGCACTCAGCCTAAATTATAGCTTCCAAGATTCTGTTCACCTTACTGGAAGCATTTTCTCTCTTAACCCCTCCTATATAAACCATGTCCCTCTTGACCAGCTCTCTCTTCACACTAGTACAGTCCTGACTTCCCCATCTGTATTTCACCTCTAAGTTTACAGGCTTGGAGCAAAGTTCTCATAAGTTAAACATTTCAAGAATCACCACTGATTTGACTGGAGTCCCAAGACACTGAGAAAGCCACCATTATTTTATAATAACAATATATATGCCATCAAGGAGACTTGGAGGATACATTGAGATGATTTTGAGATAAGGGTATTTATCAGACTCACCTACACTCATATTAAGGACAGTTGTTCCCATGATAAGATTCTCTTCTTACAATCTTTCCAATTCTCTTATTTGTTTCTACTCATCTTTTTAAGAGTTGCATATAAGATGTGTAAGTGAAAACATCACATTCGTCTACTTCCTTCTCAAAAAAAGCACCCTAAATTCCAACTCGTTTATTGTTTTATAAGATATATCATTTAATGTGTTCATAATTTTAGCATAACCTCCCCACCTGGCCTACAAAGTAAGTCCAGGACACCCAAGGCTACACAGAGAAATAAACAACCATAAGCTCAGTTGATTTCAGATTCAAGAAAGAGCCACCTAATTTTTGCTCCTGTTGGGGACCCTGTAAAATCCCATTCTTTGCAGAGGTCTGAGGAGAAACTGAGGACACACTTACTAAGCCCTGGTTTCCTATCTTTAGTTTCCTGCCTGGTACTCTACAACACAGACCGTTGGCATGTCCTCTGCTGTTATTCACCTAAAAAACTTAAAAAACTGCGTTGGGATATTGGTGATGTCTACAATTCTAGATTCCAGAATCCTTACCTGTATCTTTTATTATCCACAGGCACAATGTCCATTGCTATATAGTATTGCTGATGTGGATCCAGACCAGTGATTTTCACTCTCATGGCGGGAAACATCCTCCTGTGAAGATGAATAAGGTTGTGAGTACAAGAGAAAGGGAAAATAAGCTTCAGTGAAAGGTTAGAATGCTTTCTCATTGGGAATGTTAAACACATCAAAATTCAATATTCACTAATTCCCTGAGTTGGCTAATTATTATTTCCCTGTAAACTATGATGAAGACTTATATTGCTGAAACAGCACCCCTTCTTAGCTTAAATGTAGCCTACCTCATGATTTACACACTCAAACATTTCATACCTGATTCTGCTTTATATTTAATTAATATTTTAGTAGTACATGTAAAATACCTTACTGAACTTATTTGAAAATTATCACTGAAAATTAATTTCTCAAAAAAAATGAAACAAAGTGAATACACTGCTAGTGTCTAAACAAAGGGCCACCAAAGGCCTTTTTTTTTTTTTTGAGTACATAAAACTGGACAAAGATTTCTGCAATTTCTCAGGCTGTCAACGTGTGTGTCAGAGGAAGGACCCTGTGGAATAAGGAGCAAATACCAAATGAAGTCTAGTGGCCTCTGGGCAATACCTTGCTTCTACCACAATGGCTTGTTAAACTTGCCAAAACAAGTGAGGTCAGATGTGGCACTTTACAGCTTTTCTCATAACTGAAGGGAGAAGAGGGCATAGTCCAAAAGACGTATTGGATTTCAACTAGTCTAGAATAAAGTTTGCCATTTTTCTCAAAAACCCCAAGAAGAAAGGAAAGACACCAGGCTTGTTTGCATCAAACCAAACACTTAAAAAGTGCTCAGTTCAAAAATGTGGATTGCTCTCAGTGTGCTCTAGGGTACTTGTACACAAAATGCTACATTAAGCTTAGCCATCTGGGGCTAGTTAATAGAGCTGAATCGACCATGGTGCTAATGAGGTCAAGGTCACAAGCTTGAGCCACATGTGGCCTAATTGGCTTTGCTCCATTTCACGGCCGTAGACCATGCCCTGACCTCAGACAGCCATCTTGCAAATGTGTGCAAGGCTGTATGTACAACGCTCACATTCACTCCTTATTCAGGAAAAGTAACCTATAAAGGAAACATGTTTCTGACAGCAAATCTGTGCCACGAGAATCACGCTGGAGAGACAAGAGACCTTTGATAGGGATGGTGGCAAATTCTGAAATAGTTGCGACAAATGCATAGGGGTTCCTCCTTTCACATTTGCTTATTTTCCAGTTGTTCTACATTTTCTCCTCCCATCCTCACAACTTTAATTAGGAGGCCTTGAATGTTAGTCTTACCAATAAAATGTGATGAGCGGCTACATTTAATAACATTCACTGAGTTACACACTTTGATCTACATTAATTCTTCCAAACATCTGAGGACCTTAGTCTATACTTTTAAACATGGGTCGGTAATTGCCTTTTTCACAGCAATGAATTACAATCCTCCTCTATGTTTTAATTACAAGGAAGCATCTGGTGAGAGAAAGAGAAAACCCTCTCACTTACAAATGGAGGTGAGATATGCCTCCCCTTGACCACCTACAGAGGCTGTGCTATGCTGAAAGAAATAGATTTGGTTTTGCCTTAATAACTTCAAAGAAAGGGCACTTGATATTTTTAATTTGATATGTTCTTTGGAATAGTTATATAACCCTAAGTACACAAATTCTAAAATTACTTTGGGTAAATCACTCCATTCTTATCCTCTATAAAATAAAGCAAAGGCGTTAGATTATCTCTCAACTGCCCAGCTGCTTTAAAATTCTGTATGAATTTTCTGAACTCTCCAGATATTGCCTGTTCTTTGTGTTAGTATTTTATACAGAGACAAGTCATAACTTGATAAAAATTAAATTATCTTTTATATATCATTAAGTGAGTTGTGTTTGGTATTAATTTTATGGTTAAATTTAGGTCAATTTCTCTGTCTTCTAAATCCATTAATCCCAACACACCTCTGTCCATGGTGCTGACCACATGAATTGGTTGGTGTTCCCCAAATTGAGGGCTCTGTACACTACAATCATTCCAAATCATCACTGGGATAGTTTGGTATGTAGGAAGCTATAAGTAGCAAATAAGATTTCCCCAATTGTAATAAGGCATATAATTTTACCTACCCAACATAACTAAGAAAAACAGAACTTCATTATGACTAAAGAAGAAACTGCTAGGGAGTATGTTGCCACTGTCTGAGAGGATTTTGTGAAAACATATGAGCAGAAATCTTAAAATTAAACACTGAAAGGTTGGGGGTACACTAACCTACTGAGCTCTAAAATGCATAGAATAGAATGGGGGGATGGTATCAGGAACAAGACTGTTTGGCAAACATAAACCCGATGACCATATGAAAACCCAAACTGAAAAACATTCTAGACAAAAAGAAGTTGTACTGTTTTACCTCTCTCTGTTCAACCTTAGTTGTGCTTTGAGAATTAAAAAAAAAAAGTACAGTCATGCTTAATTTCATTAGCAATTCCTATATATGTGGAGGCTCAATCCAAATTCAGTCTAATCTAAATCAGCTTCATTTTAGTCAGAGGCAAGAACTACACATATTAAGGGGTAGATTAATAAATAATTATGATCATTATGTTCAAGCCACCCCATGCATGAATTTTGAAACTGCCTTCATCAAGCTGATTAGTCTTGTATACAAAAGGAATAGTCATATCTCACTTCGTAGGATTCTTGTGGTGCTTAAATACCATGTTCAGTGTTCAGCACAAAACAGATACACAGCTATGGACAACTGAAAGATGACAGTAAAGTTATGGTTTTACTAAAGGTGCCCCCCTTAAGAGAGACTGTGGTTTCCAAACTTATTGTCTTGGGTAACTGGTTTCACAAAAGACTCTCCTAATCATCATGAACTTTATATAATAACTTTGATCCAAAAACAAAACACTATGAATCAGTAAGAGTGGCTTGACAGGTGCACCAAGCCTCATTCTTATTGTTTTGGTCTTGGAAGATGTAAGCTGTTGCTTTATTAGAAAAGTTTCTTCAAAATGATGCACGGGGGAGTAAGTGCTTGCTTTGGACCTAACGTTTATCTATTATGTATCAAGAATTAGATGAAGAAGGATGTTTGAAAATGGAAAATGCATGTGAGAGTAGGGGTGATGCTAGATTTAAGTGCTTAGAAAAAAAAATAGTAAATGAATAGCAGACACAGCAAGACCACATCAGCAAATCCAAGTGCAGAAAAGAAAGTGAGGGATGCTTGAGCTTCACCGATTTTTACCACAGGTAAATGGTGGTGGGAGTAATTGGCCTGCTTCTGTAGTATCTTTGAGGTCAGTCCCTCAACAGAACATCCTTACCTTCCTGCTTTGGTGATGATCATCTCCGTTCCGATATCATGGAACCTCTTCCAGAGGTCAGCACATTGTAACTCCACCTGAATCTCCTCCATGGAAGACATGGCAGCAGGCACGGGGCCTGCGGCACCAGACCCAAGGTCAGTGTGAGTGCTAAAGGAGCAGGAGGTCCGCTCAGTGAGCACCTCGGAGTCCGACCCCGTGCTCTGCTCAGAATCTGCAAAGTGAATAATCAAGACCAAGGTGAGAAACTGCCCGCTTGTCCCCATTCCTGGCCATAAAAGGAGGGGGTTGGGAGACATGGAGGGCTTCGAAGGGAAGTGAACAAAAGCAGACCTGAAGCTAGGAAGCTCCAGAGCACAGCACTTGGGGAATTTTATTATTTATTTTATGGTTTGTTTTTGTGATTTATGACCTTCTTTCAGGTTTCGTGTTTCCAACATGACATCTGGCATTTTAGTAAGTTTTAGCAACAGCTGAAGAAAATTGCTCTGCAACAGGCAAAATAAAGAAGCCTAATGTCACCATGCTGAAGGGAATGAGGCCAAACTGGAGTGACAAAATAAATTGCCACATTAAATGAAAATCATAAATACAGACTCCATCTCTAGGCCTTGATTGGACCGTTTCACTCACTGCTCCCAGCATCACGTCTTCTTACTCCCTGACACTCAACCTATTTACTCTGCCCATCTATTCCCTGATCACCAACATAATGAAGCCTGGTTTGGCATCTTTAGAAGCAGTCTGTCACACATTTGACTCAATGGTTTTTCCTACGACCCCAATCAGACCATTTTTGACAGAGAAAAGAAAAAACTCTTTTGTGAGGCAAGGACATAACCATATGGAAAAAGTTACTAGAGAAAGCAGTCAAAACAAGGGGAACAAATAGGGCCAGGAGACACCTTGATTGGTTTCTGAAGTGTGGGTGGAGGGACAAGGGATCCGAACAGGAAGGTGGGATTCAGAGCAAACCAAATAAAACCTGAATCTGACGTTCTGGGCCACGTGGGCTTGTCTTGTGCCTCCCGTCCTCAGGAAGAGGAGCTGGGCAAAGGAATGAGTAGGTGTTAAGAGGGAGAAGGAGAAGGCTGAAATCAGATTTCCTGCAATGTCAAAGCTTTACTTTTAGGAGCCTGGTATCAAAACTTCTCAATCCTAAGATTGTCTGCATTCAGGTCTTCTTATATACTCCTCCTCTCAGGTCAAGTGATATCAAGCCCAAAGGACCTGCTTACCTAACCCTCCCCTTACTACCAAAGATTCTGATTATTTTCCCTTTAAATAAATATATAACTAGAGGTTATAGGAACAACATAATACTCTGATAAATGACATTTTTACTTTTCTTCCAAGCAGACCATGTATTTTGACCATAAGAATTCCTCCATATCCTATTTTCCCCCTCTCTTTCTTGTCCTCCCCTTCCTCCATTTACATATGTTTGTATTTGTATGCATATACACAAAAATTCATATATAAGATCCACAAATGAAAGAAAAATACAATATTTGGCTTTCTGAGTCTGGCCTGTTTTACTTAATATGACGATTATCTCCAATTGCATCCATTTTCCAGCAGACAAAATGATTTCACTCTTCCTTATAGCTGATTAAATCCCATTGCATATATATGTATTCTTTGCTTATTCATCTGTTGATAAATGGTGCTACAATAAGCATGAACTTGCAAGTATCTGCATAATGTTGTGGCTTACAATCCTTTAAGTATATACCCAGCAGGGGTATAGCTAGGACATATGGTATTCCATTTTCAGATTTTGGAGGAACCTCCATGCTGATTTCTATAATGAGTGGACTAATTTCCATTCCCTCCAGCAGTCTATAAATGCTGCCTTTCCTGACATCCTTACAAGAATGGGTTGCCATTTGTCTTATTTTCTTCTTTAATTAAAATATTACATTTCTCCCCTTCCGCTCCTTTCTCCACACGCCAAACTCCCTCTCAAATTCAGGACCTCTATTTTACTCTTGTTGATATATATTGACAGATACGTGCAAACAAATATATACAGTCTGCTGAGCCCATTTAGTGTTGATTGTATTATGTGTTTCTAGGGCTGAATGTGGTTGTCACTAACATTTAGGGAGCTTATCCTTAGGAAAGAATAGTTATCTCTCCCTTCGCAGTTGCTAATACTCTGCCTCTTTATCTAGAGGCAGAACTCTGAGATGTTCCCCATCCATTCTGGTATGTTAGCTAGCGTAGTCACTGCTCAGGTCTTGTTTAGGAAATCTCATTGTTGAGACTCCATGGGTGTAGCTTCTCTATTATGTCTCTAAGGCACAATCTTGCCACACACTTTCTGATCCTGATAGCCATTCTGACTCAGGTGAGAAGGAATTTTAATATTATTTTATTTATATTTCCCTGATGGCCAAGCATGTTGAACATTTTTTTTTCATGTTTACTGGCCGTTTATACTTCATCTTTTGAGAACTGCCTGTTCATTCCATTAGCCCTTTTATTAATTGGGTTGTTTGAGAGTGTTTGGATGGGTGGCACTTTCAGAGTCATTTTCAGAGTTCTTTATATATTCTTGGTATTAACCCTCTGTCAGATGTACAGTTAGCAAAGGTTTACCCCATTATATAGGATGAATTATTATTTCCTTTGCTGTGCAGAAGCTTTTTCTTTTCATATACTCATGCTTGTCAGTTCTTTGTATCATTTCCAGCTCTGTATGTTTAAATATCTTTCCTATCTTTGCATCTAATAGTTTTTCCAGACTTTGTGTCTTTGATACACTTTAAATTTATTTTGTACAAGTTGAAAAATATGAATCTAATTTTATTCCTCTACATATATATCCACTTTCTCAGCACCATTTGTTAGAGAGGCTGCCTTTTCACCATTGTATGCTTGGGTCATCTTTGTCAAAAATCATGTCATGCTGCCTATAATGGTTTAATTTGGGGTTCTCTCTTCTATTCTGTTGACCTGCGTGTATTTTTTTGCCAGTGTCATTCTGGTTTTGGCTCTGTAGTACAGTTTAAATGCATTGTGACAAATCCTACTTTTTTTTTTTTTTTTTTTTTTTGGCTAATGATTACTTTGACTATCCAGAGTCTTCTATGCTCTCATATTAATTTCAAGGCTGTTTTTTTTTTCCTATTTCTGTGAAGAATGTCATTGATATTCTTACATGGGTTTCAGAAAACTACAGATTGTCTTTGGTAATGTAGTAATTTTTCAAAGTATTAACTATGTCAATCCATGAGCATAGCATAATTGTTTAGATAGTCTTACACATTGCATAGTGTTTAAACCAGGTTAAATATGTTCTTAGGCACCTAACATTTCTTCATGGTGAAAACTTTCAAGCTCCTCTTTATAATTTGTGGAAGTGTGTGTGAGTGAGTGAGTGTGTGTGTGTGTGTGTGTGTGTGTGAAAGAGAGAGAGAGTGTGTGTGTGTTTGTGTATGTTAAATTGTTACCTCTATTCACCTGGTTATATGTTAAAATACCAGAACTAGATCCAAAGAGATGGCCCAGAACACATTCAGTTCCCAGCACCTATGTTAGGCGGTTCACAATCACCTGTAACCCCAGCTCCCGGGAATCCACTGGCCTCTTCCAGACTCCAAGGAAGCTGTACACACATGGCGTACATTCATACACACACACACACACACACACACACACACACACACACACACACACA